CAGCACTTTGGGAGGCCAAGAAGGGCAGGTCACCAGGTAAGGAGTTTGAGATCAGCCTGGCCAACATGGTGAAACCCCGTCTTTACTAAAGATGCAAAAACTTAGCCGGGCATGGTGGCAAGTGCCTGTAATCTCAGCTACTCGGGAGGTTGAGGCAGAATTGCTTGAATCCGGGAGGTGGAGGATGCAGTGGGCCGAGATTGCTCCATTGCACTCCAACCTGGGTGACAGGGTGAGACTCTACCTCAGAAAAAAAAGTCTCCTATTTTCCCACTTTCCATCTATATTCCCTAAGCCTCATAAGCCTCAGTTCTCTCCCTTTAAAACAGGGTAATAATCCCTGCTTTAATACTCTCATGGGCTATTGAGAAACTCAAATGAAATAAGAGACACAAAAGCAACCATATATGGCATAAATATATTGACAGAAATGTCTTAGTTGAGGCAATAGCATTGCACCATTTAGTGACTGCCAAAAATCTCTATTGTAAAATGAGATAATTTTTTTCAATCAATAGAACAAATTAAGATCCTTACATACCAACCACCAACATGAACTTCCAGCATTTAAAGCTTATGGAAACTCAGGAGAGCCATGCCCACCTTGGCCCTGTGGCCTGACCCGGAGGACCTCACCTGCGCATGCCTGCTGGTCGCCCTCCACTTCACCCAGCTCACAGCTCTCAGCTGTGCTGGTCTGACATCAGGCAAAAGGGCTGCTGCCTGGGAGAGGGAAAAACCAAAGAGAACAGTGAGGGAGGGAGGATTTCTTTTCTCTGATTGTGAATGTTGCATTGCTTTGCTCTCATAGAGAGAATTCTACCATTTAAGAAAAGGATTATGTTTGCAATCAACTGGTGGCAGCTGCTGTGGACAGGGACACTGCTTTTCCTGCTTATGTGCTAAACAGAAAGGAGCAGTGGGAAGAGGAAAGTCCTGAGACCTTGCTCAGAGGATTGCCCTTTCCGCCCTCCCCGCCCCGCTGAGTGGTCCCTGAGCTGCATGGCTGGGCTCTCATTTTTCTCAGGTGATAAGGATAAGAGAGGTGTTATCTGCCATGAACAGCCACGGGCTTTAGGCGCTATGGTTAACAGCACATGACCCAGCACTCCTTCCAAACACCTACAAGCCGTGGTGGCATCAGCTCACCCAATGCTGTTGAAATGACAATGTGGGTAGATAACACTCAAGTCTTCAAGGCCTTTCCCAAATGATGCTCACCTAGTTTCCCGGCATTGCCATAACAAATTAACAAACGAGGTGGCCTAAAACCACAGAGACCTATTCTCTCATTTGGTGGAGGCCAGAAGTTTAAAGTGAAGGTGTTGTCAGGGTTGGCTCCTTCTGCAGGCTCTAAGGTAGGACCCGTTCAGTGCCTCTCTTTCTTTTTTTTTTTCTGAGATGTAGTCTCACACTGTCACCCAGGCTAGAGTGCAATGGTGTGATGACTTGGCTTACTGTAACCTCCACCTCCTGGGTTCACACGATTCTCCTGCCTCAACCTCCCGAGTAGCTGGGATTATAGGCACACACCACCACACCCGGCTAATTTTTTGTATTTTTAGTGGAGACAGGATTTCACTGTGTTGACCAGACTGGTCTCAAACTCCTGACCTCGTGATCTGCCTGCCTCGGCCTCCCAAACCATGCCTCTCTCTTAGCTTCCAGTGGCTGCTGGCCGTCTTTGGTGTTCCTTGGCTTATAATGTTTGGCAATTCCTGTCTCCATCTTCACAGAACCTTTTTCTCTCTCTGTGTGTCCTCTCCTCTTCTTAAGGTGTCCTTGGATTTATGGTGTCCCCTGAAATCCAGGATGATTTGACTACAAGATCCGGATATTACATTTGCAAAGATCTTTTTTTCCAAAGGAAGTTACTGTCATAGGTTCCAGGGGTTAGGACTTAGCCGTACTTTTGTGGGGGAATGTGTTCAACCCACTACATCACTCAAGCAAAGGGGAAGGGAGAAGACCAGGAAACCACACTGAACCCCTACAAAAACCTGTAAAAATTAATGGGACAAGGTGGGGACTGGAGTTATTCAGCCAAATTATGGTGTGAAGGGCAATAGGGGTGCTGAAGGAGCCTTCAACATGGCTGGAGTAGGGAAAAGGGGGCATTAGCTTGGGATCTGAGACCCACAGAGGACACCAGGTGGCTGGAATGACAAAGTCACGTTGTATAAGCCCCATCATCAATATATCCGTTCCCGCTCACCTCCTCTTCCTCTCACTTACCCCTGCTGAGTGACCTATGGATAACCCAGAGCATTTTACCCTCCTGGGGGTATGAACAAGGCAGCATCCTGGCTGAGCCCCAGGAAACTCTCCCAGTAGCCTTTTTGCCCAGGACTCCACTGGCCTGCTTTGTGGTCAGCTGACTCTGTTCACTGAGATTGCTCAAGTGACTGCACTTCCATAACTGGTGTATTAATACAGGATTTGGCACTTTACTTTCTTCTGCTGCTATTAATGTGTATTGTAGAGGGAAGAGGAAAAGTCCTCACTTAGTTAACCAAAGATCAGAGAAAGGCACATCAGCCTGGGCCGCGTGGCTCACAAGTATGATACCAGCACTTTGGGAGGCCACAGTCAGAGGACTGAGACCAGGAGTTCAAGACAGCCTGGCCAACATAGTGAGAACCCATCTCTACAAAAAAAAATTAGCCTGTCATGGTGATGCACCCCTGAAGTTCAAACTACTCTGGAGGTTGAAGTGGGAGGATCACTGAGGCCAGGAGGTCGAGGCTGCAGTAAGCCAAGATCATGCCACTGCACTCCAGCCTGAGGACACAGTGAGATCCTGTCTCAAAAACAAAAACAAAATTTTTAAAGAAGAGGACACACTAGGTACAAAAATTCTAAACGTTATATTCTCCACGAAAGAGGTTAAAAAAAAGTATTGAATGAATGACTATTCCCAAGTTTCAAAGGAAACGTTCCTGGAGTTCTTAATGTTATCTCCCTCCAAGACGTTGTTGCCAATTGTGTAAATCAACAGAGCAGCTGTTTATTTCCAGCTCATGGTCCCAGTTACCAAGAAAACTTCTGAGGTCAGAGGTGGTAGGCCTTTGCTCAAGGCCAACCCTATAATATACGTCTTGTTTTGCAGGCTTAGAGTCCATTAACAGTTGAAAGTCAAGCTTTTCCCTCACCGTGCTGAAAAGAAGTCTGGTGAATGTAATCTGAGAAAGTTTTGTGGATGACTTGAGGGACTGAACTTTTGCCTTCATGTTGTAGCAGAAACTTATGGTTGAGTGTGTACCTTGAGTCGATCCCTCTGTTAGATGTTGTGTATATAGCCATGGACAGCAACTCAAACATGGCCCTACCTTCAGGGTGCTTTCTTGAGGAATGGAGGGAAGAAGGAAGGGAGACATTAAACTGATGATCACATAAATAATTACAGTTGATCTAAATGCTGCAAAAGTATGGGGTATCATGGAGGCATCTAACTGCATACCTCACAGATGATTAAATGGAAACACAGGACGTAGGTACTTTGTCCCCAGTAATAAAGTCTCTGGGGGGTCTCCCCTGAAGGATTTGCAGACATTCTCTCTCCCGTCTCTCTCAAAAATGGTAGATAGAGCTTTCTGCCCCTCCACGAGCCAAAAATACTTGAAGCAAATCTTCAGACTGTCATGGTGGTGCACACCTGGAGTTCAAACTACTCCGGAGGTTGAGGTGGGAGAATCACCTGATCCCAGGATTTGGGGCTGTGCCCAGGTGACATAGGATCCCCTCAGGGGATCCTAGAGCCCCCTGGAGTGAGAGAAAAACGCTCTTGGAAAGATTAATGCAGCAGAAGCAGGTTTCTAGGGCTGGGATTGGAAAATAAGGCTCTAACCACCTCACACCTATTAGGATGGCTAGTATTAAAAAAATATAAGATAGCAAGTGTTGGTGGGATATGGGGAAATTGGAACCCTTCTACACTGCTGGTGGGAATGTAAAATGTAAAAGCTGTGATGGCAAACAGTATGGAGGTTCCTCAAAAACTTAAAAATAGAACTACCAGATGACTCAGCAATCCTACTTCTGGGTATTTAACTAAAAGAATTGAAATCAAGATATGGTAGAGATATTCACTCTCCCATGTTCATTGCGGTCAACATTATATTATTGTGGTCAACATTATATTATTGTAGTCAAAATGTGGAAACGACGTAAATGCCCATCAACAGATGAATCAATAAATGTAATAAGAGGATGGGTGCGGTGGCTCATGCCTATAATCCCAGCATTTTGGGAGGTTGACGTGGGTGGATCACCTGAGGTCAGGAGTTTGAGACCAGCCTAACCAACATGGTGAAACCCCATCTCTACTAAAAATACAAAAACTAGCCAGATATGTAGTAATCCCAGCTACTTGGGAGGCTGAGACAGAAGAATCACTTGAACCTGGGAGGCAAAGGTTACAGTGAGCCAAGACAGCATTGCTGCACTGCCTGGGTGATAGAACAAGTCTCTGTAAAAAAAAAAAAAAAAGTGCTAAGAATATAAATGGAATATTATTCAGCCTTGAGAAAGAAAATCCTGCCATACATGACAACATGGATGAACTTTGAGGACATTATGCTAAGTAAAACAAACGAGTCTCAGAAAGACAAATACTACATGATTCCACTTACATGATGTATCTAAAATAGTCAAACTCATATAGAATGGTGGCTGGCAGGGGCTGCAAGGGATTCAGGGAATGGTAGCTGTTATTCAGTGGGTATAAAGTTTCAGTTACACAAGATAAGCAAGCTCTAGAGATCTTTTGTACCACATTACAAGTATAGTCATCAATACTATATTGTACACTTAATAATTTGTTAAGGTAGATTTTATGTTAAGTGTTTCTATCAGGCTGTTCTTGCATTGTTGTAAATAAACACCTGAGACTGGGTAATTTATAAAGAAAAGAGGTTTAAATGGTTAACAGTTCTGTAGGCTTTACAGGAAGCATGGTGCCGACATCTGCTCAGCTTCCAGGAAGGCCTCAGGGAGCTTTTCTCCCGGTGGAAGGTGAAGCAGGAGAAGGCACATCACCTGGCAAGAGAGGGAGCAAGAGAGCACGAGTCAGGAGGAGGAGGCACCACACATTAAGAGACCAGATCTCGGGAGAACTCACTCATATCTCAAGGACACCACCACGCTATGAGGAATACACCCCTGTGACCCACACAGCTCCCACCAGTGGGGATTACATCTCAACGTGAGATTTGAGTGGGGACAAATATTCAAATGATAGCAGCGCTCTTACTACAATTTTAAGAAAATAAGACTGTAGATTAGGATTGACAACTATGGCCTGTGGGTCAAATTCAGCCAGCTGCCTGTTTTTGTAAATAAAACTTTATTGGAACACAACCACACCGATTCATTTCATTATTGTCTATGGCTGCTTTTGCACTCAAATGTTACTGCTGAGTAGTTGCAGCAGGGTCAGTATAATCCACAAAGTTTTCTGAAATTCCTGTCTGTCCTGCATGAGGGTGTCAGTGGCTGGTCACTGTGGTGTTCTCCACATTTCTGCTCTTAATATTCTCCAGTTGTGAAACATGAAATGTTTCCCTATTGCCCATTGGTCTGTCACTCAGTCCACAGACTAGGCTTAGCGTTACATGCCGCAATTCTAATTCATGTGCTCTAAAGTTTCTATGTTCACAATAGTCACTACATATGTGGCTATTTAAATTTAAAGTAATCACATCTGGCCTTTTACAAAGAGAGCTTTGCCAATGCCCGCTTTTGATTCTTCTGGGCTCTTATCACCACACCAGAATGACTTAACACTTTTACCTGGATTGCTTTGGAAGGAGGAAGGTAAACACAGAAAGTTCATGTGCTAAGAACATCAGAGGTCAAGAGATCGAGACCATACTGGCCAACATGGTAAAACCCCGTCTCTACTTAAAAAAAAAAAAAAAAAAAAATTAGCTGGACGTGGTGGCGTGCGCCTCTAGTCCCAGCTACTCAGGAACCCGGGAGGCGGAGGTTGCAGTGAGCTAAGATCATGCCACTGCACTCCACCCTGGCGCCTGGTGACAGAGCAAGACTCTGTCTAAAAAAAAAGAACATCAGAGTTGACAGGAGCGGTGGCTCATACCTGTAATTCCAGCACTTTGGGAGGCCAAGGCAGGCCAGGGTGATCAGGAGTTTGAGACCAGCCTGGCCAATATGGTGAAACCCCATCTCTACTAAAAATACAAAAATTAGCCAGGCATGGTGGTGCACGCCTGTAATCCCAGCTACTCGGGAGGCTGAGGCAGGAGAATCACTTGAACCCAGGAGGCAGAGGTTGCAGTGAGCTGAGATTGCACCACTGCACTCCAGCCTGGGCAATAGAGCAAGACTCTGTCTCAAAAGAAAAAAGAAAACAAAACAAAAAAAGAACATCAGAGTCCACTCATAAGCACCTACTATAATCCAGGCTCTATTTCGAAAATAGTGCATTTAGTCATCACATCAACTACATGAGGCAGGAATGATCATCCTCATTTTACAAGTCAGAAAACGGAGACTCCGAGATGTAAAGCGACAAAGCTCAAAGTCATATTTCAACTTGGAACTCTCTGCCTGTGTACTTTGTCACTGCATCCAACTTCCTACATTATCTGCTGCTTAACATTTGCATAGAATTAATGAGAAGAATTCCATCACTTTAAAAAAGCAATAATCAGTAGGAACAAGATCAAGTGAGTGTATCCTGCCCATCAGACAGTATCAGCCTGTCCCTGTAGACTGATGTCACTGTGTTGATTTCTGGGAGCCTTGGAATGCTAGAGGTTCAGTCACTGTTGGGTTGGAATTTTTGAATTCTTGTAGTTGTGTGCTGCAGCGAGGGGGTGGGGGACCCCTCAGAGAAAAGTTTACTGTATTACAAGACCATCAAAGACCTAGTTGCTCCCTACCCGTCTATTATTGCCCCGACAACCACATTACAAACATTCATGCTTCTCATTCAGAAGAGGGAACCAGGATTGTGAGGTAGTTTTGGAAATCATATCAACAAAGCACAGTTACAAAACCAGGGTATGTTTAATTTAAACAAGAGGAGACCTGCCGGAAGCATGCTAGCTGTGCATTATGTCCTCAGGAAGCCCTGCCATATCAAGAAGGGAGCAGCCTTCAGTGTGTTCTCTCAGAGGAAGGAATGCAAGTCCACACACATGTCCCAGGCTACAATGGTTTGACTTGCGATTTTGCCTATAATGATACAAAAGCTATATGCATTTATTTGAAACTGCACATCTAGTATCCACACAACCATTCTGTTTTTCACTTTCAGTACAGTAGTCAATAAACTACATGAGATATTCAACATTTTATTATTATAAATAGGCTTTGTGTTAGATGATTTTGCCCAAATGTTGGCTCATGTTTAAGTGTTCTGAGCATGCTTAAAGTAGGCTAGGTGAGGCTGTGACGTTAGGTTGGCTGGTTGCATTAAGTACACCTTGTATTTTCAACTTATGATGGGATGAACACGTAACCCCATTGTAAGTCAAGGAGCATCAGCAGTTGGAAGTAAAACAGAGGCCAATTTTGGCTCAAAAGTTGAAAGGATATTACAAAAACTGGAAATATCAAGCAATAAAATGAGCTATTGAGGGGATGAGCCCATAGAACTCTAGAGGTATCCAAGCAAGACATTCGCCACGATGCTGTGGCTTGGGTTTCCGAAACGTACGAAATGCTAGACTAGCTACTGCTAATCCAAAAGCTGTAGTCCCTCCAATCCAAAGAGCCCACAATTGTATAACAAAGAGACTTCCCTAAGGATCACACTGGGAACATCAGTGGTCTGAATCAAATTTGTCGGGCCTAAGTCTTTCCATATCCTAATCACAACATCTCAAGTAAATATCACAACTGAAAGCCGGTGCACATTTCCAGCCAAGCCCCAGTCACCTCAGGTTATAATCCAGGACTAGACTAACTGAGTATTTTTGACATAAACATAAGAAATATCTTTCAGGTTGGGTACAGTAGCTCATGCCTGTAATCCCAGTACTTTGGGAGGCCAAGGCAGGCGGATCACCTGAGCTCAGGAGCTTGAGACCAACCAGCCTGGGCAACAGGGTGAAAACCTGTCTCATAAAATACAAAAATTAGCCGGGTATGGTGGCACAAACCTGTAGTTACAGCTACTCGGGAGGCTAAGGCAAGAGGATCACTTGAGCCCAAGAGGCAGAGATTAGAATCCAAGATCATGCCACTGCACTCCAGCCTGGGTGATGGAGCAAGACCCTGTCTCCAAACAAAACAAAACAAACAAAACCTTTCAGTTTGTCAGGTAAAACATAAGATCTCTGGCTTTGGAGTAGGCAGCAAGAAGTGAGTGATCAAAATAATAGCATTAACTAATATTTCCACTCTACTTTGCTGTTTACAAGGAGACCCATGATTCAATTGATCTTCACAACGGCCCTGCAGAGGCAACAAGATGTGTTAGATATTAGTCATTAGCATCCATTTGTAGAGTAAAAGATGGCCTGGTTCCCCACGATTGCAAAGCTAATAAATTGTGACACTGACTCAAACCCAAACTTCTCCCTTCAAATGGCTGAAGACCTAATGAGTGACGTCTTGAAGACAGTAGGGGTCACATTGGTGGACACCGTTTTAATCATTGCCCTGCAGAGACTAGCTAAGAATTCAGAATTTTTACTTCAAATTTGTTTGCAGTCTTTGTAATGAAGCGGGGTCATCTGGGCACATGAACCTTGGCAAAAGTGAATGTATTGCTGAGAATGTCATGCACTTAGAGTATGCACTGTTTATGAGACTAGTGCTTAAAGTATTAGAATGTGTTTCACATCCTGAGGATGCATTCAGATTGAGAGGCTAGATACTTCCAGAGATAATTATCAAGATTCATGCCATTTAAATATAGGTTGTCTTTACTGTTCATTGCGCACATGAGTGGTATTGGATTTTATATCCTGTTTTCCCATCAGGTCTGGACTGAATCATCTCCTCTGCTGTCACAACACTTGCTTTTGGAAGCTCCGAGAAGGGAAACGAGAAACCATGAGCAAATGACAGGTAGCCTACATGCTGATTAGAGGCTGTTTGCACACTCTCACTTGGAGAAAGCCTTGGGTGCTGTGGGGTTCTATTAGCATGATTAATGGGCCTGTGAAAAACTAGAGATAGCATCTTTGCTTCTAAAACTGAAAAACATCCGTTGTCAGAAACAGGCCTGCCAGCATTTAAGGCAATCAAAGCTTTGAAGTAAAGAATTGCTCAAATAGCTATAGGATAGGGAAGGGGAGATAATTCCAGGCAGAGGAGCCATTTGAGTAAAGGCAGGAAGGCACGAAAATGAAAGGCCTTTTCTACTTAACCAGAGCACAGAACAGGTACAGGTGAGCATCCCAGGGCCGAACAGAAGACACGCCTACCAGCTGTTGTGGTCATTGATGACTAAAATAATAAATGTCTTTACAAAAAATGTCACTAAGAAATGCATATTTTGTGTTTAAAATTCTGCTCTAGAGCTTCATAAATAATTTAAAGCTTCTGGTGATCAGTGTTCTCCTTTCAGGAATATAGGTTATGTGGTTCATCTCCCTTAGTCCCATTGCAGCTAGGGACAAGTGAGATGCTCTCATCAGACCTCACCACTGAATACAGAGCCACTGCCTGGGCTAAATCCATCTTTTACAAATTCATTTCCCTACATATCTTCTCACACAGTTATGGACTCTCCAAATGGGTCGATTTAAGATGATAAATGCACAGCTCTTACTTCCCTATTCCAAACTGTTACTGGCTGCTGAATGACTATACCAGTGGTTCCCAAAGAGTGGTCCTTGGACCATTATAATCTGGGGACTTGTTAGAAATGCAAATTCTGACAGGGTGTGGTGGCTCATGCCTATAATCCCAGCACTTTGGGAGGTCAAACAGGGCAGATTGCTTAAGCCCAGATGTTGGAAACCAGCCTGGGCAACATGGCAAACTCCCCCCCCCCACAAAAAAAACCCCACAAAAATTAGCCAGGCATGGTGGCACACATCCATAGTCCCAGCTACTTGGGAGGCTCAGGTGGGAGGATCACTTAAGCCTGGGAGGTGGAGGTTGCAGTGAGCTGAGATCATGCTGCTGTACTCCAGTCTGGGTGACAGAGTGAGACCCTGCCTCAAAAAAGAAAACAACAAAGAAATGCAAATTCTTGGGCCCCACCCTGGAGTCACTGAATCAGCTCTGTGGGTAAGCCCAGCAAGCTCTGTGTTAACAAGCCCTTGTGTACAGGTGATTCTGGTGCACATTTAAGTTTGACAAATTCTGAACTATAGCATTAAGTACCCTCTAGAGCTTGCCATCTGAGAGATTTTGTGTTCAGTCCTTCCGGGGTCATCAGCATTACTGAGAGCATGGATGTCACAAAGAGGAACAAACAGCATCCATCCCTTTGAAAGATTTCCAAGGAGGCCACAACATTACTCTTCCCATTCAGATCACTGAGGTTGGCCAATGCCATACTCTGCACACACAACATTTCTCTCCTTTCCCATCGCCCCAACTCTGTTCACTCCCCTGTGTTATGTGTGTGTCAGTTATCCCAACCACCCCATCGCACTGTGATTCTGAGAGCAAGAACCATAGTTTTTTTCTTCTTTATGTAATCTTTATTTCCTGTGCCTATCAAACCTGGGAAACAATTAATGGTAAAACCACAGGGTCTTTAATTCTTGATTCTCCACCAGGTCAGCACTGGGTTATTAGCAGTTCAAGCTCCACACTGGGTCCCCACTATTCCCAAACATGCCCTATGACCACACTGCTCAAGAGAATTATGAAGCCGGGCACAGTGGCTCATGCCTGTAATCCCAGCACTTTGGGAGATCAAGGTGGGACGATCACTTGAGTTCAAGAGTTTGAGACCAGCCTGGGCAACATGGTGAAACTCCATCTCTACAAAACGTAGCCAGGCATTATGGCACATGCCTGTAGTCCGAGATGCTCAGGAGATTGATGTGGGAGGACCACTTGAGCCCAGGAGGTTGGCTGCAGTGAACTGTGACTAATAAAAAGAAAAAAAAAAAAAGGCCGGGCACAGTGGCTCATGCTTGTAATCCCAGCACTCTGGAAGGCCAAGGCAGGTAGATCACCTGAGATCAGGAGTTCCAGAGCTGCCTGGCCAACATGGTGAAACCCCATCTCTACTAAAAATACAAAAATTAGCCGGGCATGGTGGCAGGTGGCTCTAATCCCAGCTACTTGGGAGGCAGAGATTGCAGTGAGCTGAGACTGTGCTGCTGCACTCCAGCCTGGGCGACAGAGCAAGACTCCATCTCAAAAAAAAAAAAAAAAAAAAAAAAAGAGAGAGAGAGAGAGAGAGAGAATTATGGTCCCTCAATGCTTCCCCTAGTGAAAAGAGGAGACCAGCAAGGCCCACTGCAGCAGAGACGGAGCCTTGCCTCCCACTGGCCTGTTGCTCACCATGTCTCACAGCTTTTGCTCCTGTCGCTCCTTGTAGAAGGGGAAGCATCTCTTTTGACCAGTGATGATGGTTTCTGAGTCCTATAAGACTCCTCCTATCTCCCAAAGAAATCTGATATTTTCAACACCTGTGAAAAGATGGGGGAAAAAAGAAATCTGGTATTTACAGCTCTTCAGATGACTGAGGCATTCTTGGAACTAGACAAGACAGTATTGAATAATACCTTCCAATGTCTTACTCCTACCAACCGTGAGCCGGATAAGGTCAGGATAAACAGGGATGTAAATTTCTTCCACCCCATGATCAGTTCCTTCTCCATGTAGGGTATCAGGATCATCCATTGTCTCCCTCTTGGTGTATAATTATGAATATACATGAAAATTTTACAATCCTAGGACTCAACTTAAGTTTCAGAGTTATTTTCTCTTTTTCTTTTTCAGAAAAATCTTAGGAGATTCTCAGAAAAAGGTAAGCACTGATGTCCTTTCCTGATGGCCTAGAGTTTCTGGAGAGGTGGATCCTCATGACATTGCTTGTCTGTAGTGCCCATCATGGCACTTTCATTGTAAAGGGGAAATGTTTGACAAGCAAATAAATGCATTATTCAAAAATTCACCTCACCTTGGAAAATGCAAAGCAAAGCCCAGAAGAGAAGGGCCATAGATGTAGTTGGTACAAAAAAGTGAGTAGAAGGAGGCTGGGCAGGCTCCTGCCTGGGCAGTGCATAGTCAGATGGGCAACAGACATGCAGGGGGAGGGGAGGCTGGAGGCCTGAGGCCTGGGCAGGTGGAAAAGGGCATGTGAAGAAAACTGATATATTGGGGCTGAAAGAGGAAAACAATAACATGGAAAAATGAGACAGGAAAAGAAAAAAAATAGTCATCATGGGAAGATGCCAAATATCTATTTTGCCCAGACTGCAGCTAGCTCAACAGAGAGGACCAGGGTAGAGAAGTTTCAGTATAAACTAGTAAGAAAATAATCCAGGATTTCTGTGCAAATGACTCTGTCCTGTAAAGACAGGCAGAAGGTAAGAGTCTGTGTCACCTACATATCTAAGAATCCACTGTGGAGGTCCTAGTCTTCGTTCTAGTCTGCATTGTCCATCCTCTCGATCCCATGAGATGTATGAGTATTTATCATATTTCACCTAAGAGAGCGCAGCTGCCTCCCTATCTGGAGTATACACTTGTTCTTGGCAAGAGCAACATCTTGCAATAAGTTTCCAGCCATCGCAACACCTAGAAGGGTGCGACACTTGCTGATTGGACTACAGTCAGAGGTGAAAGCCAGAAAGGTGGTGCAGACTTTCCAATCAGCCTTGCAGGAGACAGAACTAATTTCGCCACCCTAAAAACCTTTCTTCAAGCTCAAACACCTAGTCCAAAGGCTATCTCTGTCCACTAAATATGCTTGCCAGGCTGTTCAGATGAGACAGTCAATGAAGTGCCCTTTCAAACTTAATCTAACAACTATTCTGAGCACTCACAATGTGTCAGGCACTTTGATGGCCCTGGGGCTATCGTGAGAAGACACACAGTCCCAGTTTCTTGATGCTCACAGTCTGTTATGAAAGATACACATTAAACAGGAAATTACATGCATGATGAGGGTTGCCAAGTATCCTCGGAAGTGCTCAGAAATCCAGAGATTTAACTTCAGGGTGGTTGATTCTTTGCTATGGTATCATGTTGGCATCTCCTGCTTACCTCAGGGGTAATACATAGCAAAACAGGTCATATTTCCCTCTTGAGACTGGAAGGCAAAAAGCTTAGGTTGCTCTACCAACCACCAGTGGCTTGGTAAAATAGAAACAAGAGCAGTGGCAAACCAGGAAATAAAGGGCCCTCCCTCGCCTTCTGATACATGCAAGGCGTCTATAACCTGGAGGTCCTCATACAGGCCAGAAGGTGTTTTCCCAAGTGGCAACTCCACTTCATGTCAACTCCAGCAACACCTGGAAAACTGTGGGTGCCATCTTCCTCCATCTGCCACCACAGACAGAAAAGAATTCTGGAGTAAAGGAAGAGGGTCTCTGAGCGGTGGCACCCCTGTGCTTAACTTTTCAAAAAAGGAGGGCCATGTCCAAGTTCTTACTCCTACTGTATGAGAAATAAGGCTATGGATTGGAAGCAAAAGAGCTTGAGGCAAAAGCGAGAAATGAAAGGCTCCGGGGAATAACAATATAGCTATTTGGGGACAGTTAGTGAAGGGGACAAAGGGCCAACCACAGGTATCACTGAGCTGCAGTGTTATCCTACAGTCTCCTGTACTGACCATACCAAGTCATGAAAATAAAAATATTACATTAAATATGTCACTTTTTTTTGAGATGGAGTCTCGCTGGAGTGCAGTGGCACGATCTTGGCTCACTGCAACCTCCACCTCCCAGGTTCAAGCGATTCTCCTGCCTCAGCCTCCCTAGTAGCAGGGACTACAGGCATATGCCACCATGCCCAGCTAATTTTGTATTTTTAGAAGAGACAGGGTTTCACCGTGTTAGCTAGGATGGTCTCAATCTCCTGATCCTGTGATCCGCCCGCCTTGGCCTCCCAAAGTGCTGGGATTGCAGGCGTGAGCCACCGTGCCTGGCCTAAATATGACACATTTAAAAAAAACCAAGGCTATATCAGAAAAGTTTAAAATCTTTAAATTTTGTACTTCAAGAGGTACAGACTTTAGACACTAGAGAAATATACTATTTGCAATATATCATTCCCTGAGAAGGCTAGAAAGTTAGAAAAGAAACTGTTACCATATATAAAAACTGGTTGTAAATGTCTGCCTTATTGTGTCTTTCCTAAGTAACTTAGTATCTTTCCTAAGTTACTGAGAATTAAGGTGGCGATTGCCACAAATAGGGAAAAGTCTTACGCATGCAATATTGATGACGATTACGCAATACTTCACAAGTATTCTGAATGCTGTATACAAAAACTCCTCTGAAGAGCTAATGTTAGCGCCTGGGGAATTCTGTTCCTGGCAACACATCAATTAAAAACCAGCAGCTACTCCCCAGGTATCAAAGGCTGCGATCCCCCCCAGGGGGCTGCTGACAGCCCAGCCGCTGAAAGAGCTATCCGAACCAACACCAATCACTAGACAA